ATATATATATATATATATACACACACACACACGTATATAATTATTGTATTATGATTATAACCAGCACCTTTATCTTGAAGGAGTTCCTTCAAGATAAAGCATGAATTCCTTTTTGTTCTGTAGTACAAAGAATAAAGAAGCCTATAGGACTACCTAAGCTTGGGGAACATTCCATCATGTCATACTTTGTATTGTAGAATGTTCAACAACAAAGGTGAAGAAGTGAAGAGGATAGAGTTCAAGCATGGTGGAAACTATGTCCGAGCGCCCAAAGAAGGTTCTTTTGAACTTTATGGAGACCGAGTCCTGAAACTGGGAACTAACATGTAAGCAAATTCTCCTTCTCTGAGTGAATTCAAGTCCAAGAGAGGTCACTTCATTTTAAAAAACAGCCTGACTTCTGCTATGAAAATCCCGGCTGACAATAGGAGTAATTTCCCCTTAGATACACTGCATACAGAGACCTGACCTTTCAGAGGGCACCCAGGAATGCCAAACATAAGACAACTCAACAGAATGAAAAGATACATAATGTGAAATAGCCATGGAACACTAGCCAAAATCTGTGTTGCACTGGAAATCCAGAAAGACTTACCTTTTCTGTAAAGCTGCATGTCTTTTCAGTGATACACGTTGCTCTTCACAAGAGGAGGCATTGCCAGCCAGCTTCCCCAGGTGTTTTTCTTTGGGCAGAAGTGAAATTTGAGTGGTTAACACTCACTTAGTTGCATTCTATACCCACAGCACCTTTCTGGATGCTATTTAATGTGACAAAATAAAAGCTACAAACTATGCTTACAAGTTAGATGGAAGTCCATGGAAAGGGGCTGCATGATGTCACTATTATCTGTTGTCACCCCAGGTACAGTGCGAATCGGCCTGTGGAAACCCATATGTCTGGATCATCAAAGAATGTAGCCTCATGGGCCCAGGTGAGCATCTGCCTTCCTTCCCTACACTCATAGCTTCTCTCTAGATACAGACGTCTACATAAAGAGAGAGTGGGAGTTCTTTAGATTTCGGAGCTAGCCAACACTTCCCTTTTTGTTTGCAATCTTCTGCATTCCGCCTTGTACGTACGCAGGTTTTAGTTGTAGCTTTTCATGGAGACTTCCAGTGATCTCACTAATTAGGTAATTTTAGGCGTGGCTCAGCCACCATAATTAAGAGGAACCACACGCCAGGACATGTGTAGTGACGTAGTACCAGTGCCATTAGGTCCATGATGGCTGACATCAGCACTCGTGTGTATTCTGATCGTTAAAACATTTCTTTTTAATGTTTCCCTATATAGCACCATGGTAGCTAAGTCAGAGTGGGGTTTCAGTTTCTCCGAATTCCATCTTTACACATTTTTGCTGAACCAGCTCCCAGCTAGCTGTAAGAGAGATCACGGAATCCTAAACTATTCAACAAGCATTTATTAAACTGCTTCTGTGGGCTGGGGACCCAGGGACACAAAGCTGACGTAGATATGGTCCCATCCTGAAGGGGCCTGTAGTACCCTGGGAAAGACGGCGTTAGAAACAACTTGAAGGAGTTGGAGGAAGGGCTGGCTGGAGATCCTGAGCAAAGTGCTGTGCCAGAGGAATGCGCTTTTGTCCAGTGGACAGGGATCAAGAAGGCATTTCAGAGGCGGGGATATTGAAGTGGCGCTCCAGAGCAGGTAAACTATGAAACAGCAGAGAGGGAGAAATGCGCACACGGACCAAGGTGACAGAGGGGCAGGAGTGTTCCCGGGAGGAGGGTGGCAGCGTCTTCCACAAGGCTCCTGTAATGGATCACAGCGTCATGGAGGCTGCTAGCAGAGACCCACCTGGACAGGGACACCAGGGCCTGAGGAGCAGGAAGGGGCATAAGCTATTTGGACTTTGTTCTCTCGACAGGAAGCACAGGGGTTTGTTTCAAGCCAGGGAGAAATGAGACAAAAACTGTATTTAGGTAACTGGTGGTGGAGTGAGGGGAGAGGCAGAACAGGGGAGGCCAGGTTAGAAGGAAAGGGCGCAGGATGAGGCAGGGTGAGGATGTGAGAGGAGGAAACGGACTCGAGGATGTGTTCCCGGCCTCACCACCTGAGGGCAGTGTGGCGGCACCCCTGGAAGGAGACTGGACTGAGGTCACTCGTAAATGCTGAGGGAACCCGATTGACGGGAAAAGAAGCCGTACTCTTCTCCTTCAAGGAGAAAGGTAGTGAGAGGAGAAATGTGGATTCCTGCAGCTTCCACTCATGGGGACAGTATGAAAATCTCTGGTTTGCAAAGTTGCTACATTCCCTCTGCTTCCGACGTGATTGTTTTGCTTTTGGTTAAGCCTGCTTTCTGCGCTTTGTTTGGATCCAGAAATAATTTAAACAGCGATTGTTTCACCTTGTTTTATAATACCTACCTGTGTCTCTGGGGTTTTAGCAGGAAATGTGATCGCCTTCTTGTGGCTAAAAATCATGCAACTGTTTCTGCAGGAAAGCATTGCTCCAAACCCTCTTGCTAAAGAAGAGCTGAATTTCTTGGCCAGGCTAATGGGAGGGATGGAGATTAAGCAACCCAGCGGACCGGAGCCTGGATTCCGGTTGAATCTCTTTACCTCCGATGAAGAAGAAGAGTATGTTTTAAACGTGTCTCGTTAAAGACATATAAAAATCCCAAGTGTGACAAGAACCCAAAATGACCATTACAAACCGGTGGCACTTATAAATATTTGTGTAAATATCACAAATAAAATAACGACAAACTCAGTAACCTAGCTGAATAACCCACCAGGATGAAATGACCTGAACCTTCTGGAATCGTTCAACAAAAGAGGTGGTGTGGGCCGGGCGCGGTGGCTCAAGCCTGTAATCCCAGCACTTTGGGAGGCCGAGGCGGGTGGATCACGAGATCAAGAGATCGAGACCATCCTGGTCAACATGGTGAAACCCCGTCTCTACTAAAAATACAAAACATTAGCTGGGCATGGTGGCGCATGCCTGTAATCCCAGCTACTGAGGAGGT